AAAGTTAAATAAAAAATAAATCAACAATGAGCAAAGCAACTAACATTTAAATTGACCATTATATTTTTATAATTATATTTTTAAAAAAATCCCAATTTACCTATTATTAAAAATGAAGAGTGCAAATTTGAATTTATTGTCGATACCCATGCATCACTATTGGCATCAGCCCATGCATACCAATTGGCATCGGTCACAAGTAGGCATCGGTGCACCCCTAGTTTTTAATCCTTCCCATTATGTAGCTAAATCAAATGAAGCATTTATATGCTATAAGATATTTATTAAAAGAATCTAAAATTACAGATCAGGCAGGAGATTTCCCTTTGAGAGTCTGTTTTTCCTCTTGCACACAGCGTAGCAAAAATTGTTTGTGCTGTACTTTTGTAGTGATCAAACTACAAAAATCTTGAATAAGTTTTACTGCCCTTTCAGTTTTATCATTAACTGCTCTTAAGCAAAGAATATTTCTTTTTGCCTCTATATAAGCAACCTCTTCATCCCATGTTGAAACAGGTCTCTGAAAGATGTTCTCATTAATTTTTTAATTAATGAGAATTTCCTCCAATAATATTGTGATTTTGACAATGACAAAATCACTCAATTTTCCTGTAATAATTATTAAGGCAGTATTATTATTAGTTTAGTGAAAACAGTATAGAAAATAATACTATGTATTCCTACTTAACATTCAAATAATCAGACATATCTTTCCGACAAGATGACAAGATTTGATGCACAACACATGTGATAGCTATATTCGATTTATGGGATGGCATAGATGTGGGTCATGTATGGTTATGGTATTTATAATACATAAGTGGCGTAAGAATTATAGCCACATGTGGGACATATGTGGCTCCCACCTAAAGTGTATAAATACCATAGGCACATATGGTCCACATTTACATTATCCCATAAATCAAGAGTGGTTATCATTTAATAACACATGGCCCACATCAAATTTTCTTGTCAGGCTCTCTTTCTAGAATCAAGAAAACACTTTCTATGTAAGTTCATTACAATATTTTGCTTGGTTTGTTCATTAAATTTATCATCAAAAAGTGATAAAACTGTAATTTCTTCTGACAAGTACCAAAGATGTTGACAAAACTTGTTCGGGGCTGCTTTAGAGATCAATTTGTCATTAGTTTTGTATTTCTTAAGCCTCTTTAAAAAGCACAAATCTTGATTTGGTGCCTTCACCACCAGACTACATCTAAGCCATGGTTTCACATATATAACTGCAATAAATAAACAAATGTCTTGAAGTGCTTTTTTATCCTTGTCGCTGATTTTGATCTGGGAACGCAACAAACATATTTTTAAAGAGTAAATGGCTCTAGCTATCCACCCGATTATTGTATATTATATACATATATATATATATATATATATATATATATATATATATATATATATATATATATATATATATATATATATATATACATATATAATATACAATAATTAAATAAAAATAGCAAAAATATTAATATATATATATATATTTTAATATTTTTGTTATTTTTATTTAATTATTGTATATTATATTTCTTTTTTTTTTTTTATCTATTTATAAAAAAGATTATTTACAGAAATATAACCATATTTAAAGCTAGCCCTAACCATAACCCTAAGCTTGACCTTAATCATGACCAGAGTTTTTTGCTATCATATTTAACTGGGTTTTTTTTCACATGTGCAATAGGCATGATCTAAAACAAAAAGTTAGGTTAGTTTTGAAGTTTACAGTAATTATATCCACATTACCTTGAACTTTTAAATAATTACTAACAAAACAAATAATATATCTCAGTAGCTCAAGTTAATAAAGAAATAAAGTATTAATATTTTTTTTTGTTTTTTTTGTTTTTGTTTTAATTCACCTCCTCAAGGCCGAGAAGGACACTACAGACGAGGATGCTACTTATTTGTGGTTATAACCCTCTCTCAACTCTATAACTCCGAAACACGAACCTTGACGAACAAGGCCGCTGCGCGGAGAAACGAGTTGAGCGTGGTACTACCAGGGACGTGGTGGGGATCAAACTTGGAACTACTCGTTTATGAAGCGAGCGCCCTACCACTACACCACTACCGCATAATATGTAATGTATACATACCTAAATTAGATAAAAATATCTAAATGGAATAACAAATGACAATGCTTTTTTGTTTTTGTTTTAGTTTCACTGATGTTTGTACATAACCTATAAAATTTTTAGAAATGTCGTGAACAGTGTTGCCAATATAATTTTGTTGTTTGTTTTTATGTTATAGTATTTTTATATGACTTTTATAAGTATATGTGCAACAGATTTATGATAATTTTTATTTGGATACGTAATTACTAATTTTTATACAGAAAATATAATTTATACCCAAGTTACCCCACTATAACCAAATTACCCCAGCGAATCCTAAGAATTTTTGAAGCACTTAGGAATAGTCAACAGTTTATTAACTGAATGACAAGTAACACAAGAATGCAAATGTCTGGAAAGCGAGTTGGAAAGCTGACTGTTTATGTTAGAGATTGAGAAAGGTAAAAATCGTGGGTTTTGCTGAGTCACTGACACTAGAGCTAAACCATTCAGTGTGATGAGCATTAAACTTACCCACAGCAACAATAATGGCTGAAGGATAAAGAAAGAGGGCTTGGTTAATTTGATCAAAAACAACATCAAAAAGAGTGCAGTCTTGAGATGAAGGAGAGTGCAACCTTGAGATGAAGGAGAGCAATATAGAACAAAGATAAAAGCGAGACAGCCACACTAAAACTAGCCTCACAAAAAGCAAGTAGGTCTGGTGAACTTTGTAAGTGATAAAACTTAACAGAAGAAAAGTTACTTCAAAGACCACATAACAATATTAGTGAATAATATATTTAAAGAACTTAGTGATGATGATGGTTTTTTGTGTTTTATAATTTTTGGTACTTCTTTACACTTTTTGGATTTGTTAAAGAACTTAGAGCAAAGTCAAATATCCCATAGTTCATCAGTAATAAAATTTAATTATTGCCAGAAGGTAAACAATATTCATATGATGAATTGAAAAAAGTAATTTTACATGTTTAGAAGAACATATCTCTTGTCAATCTCAGAAAACATTAAGAAAGTATGTCAAATTAAATATTTGATGTCATTCAAAATTGCAGCAATAAAACAACGTATTAATAGTTAATTCAAATTAAGATACATCCCATCATCAAATTTTGTTGAACAAAATTCTAATAAGGTTATAAATTTGCATTTAAAAAAAAAAAAAAAATTAAATCAATTAAAGAAATTAAACCAAGCTATATTGCAAATAAAATATTAATCAAGTTAGATGCTAGCAGTTGAATATCTTAGTAATGATCATTTATATCTAAGATCTTGAATTTTAGGTAAGGTTATAAATCTGCATCTGTATTCTTAATTTATAAATATTTATACATTTCTCGTAATACTTAAAGCATATTCAACTTTTGATACTAGCATCTTCATCTTAATACTAGCATCTTCATCTTGATACTAGCATCTCAATCTTGATACTAGCATCTTCATCTTGATACTAGCTTCTTCATTTTGATACTAGTATCTTCATCTTGATACTAGGATCTTCATCTTGATTCTAGCATCTTCATCTTGATACTAGGATCTTCATCTTGATACAACCATTTTCATCTTGATACTAGTATCTTCATCTTGATACTAGCATCTTTATCTTGATGCTAGCATCTTCAGGCTAATCAACAAACACTTTTTAATAGATTTTTTAAAGTTCCTACTAAATGGGGTTCTTTTTTAATTATGTAAGTATAAAAAATATAGTGTCTAGAATTGCATTTTTACATAATTGCCGTAATCAAGATTCATAAGATACTATTTTTTATGTAAATTTTATAAGTTTTATAACTATGAAACACATAGTTATAACTTAGTTGTATTCTCAACTATGAATCACATAGCTTGATGAATAAGGCAACTGCAGAAAGAAACAAGTTTAGCATGGTACTTCCAGGAACCTGGTGGTTTTAAAAATCTTTTGCTTATAAAGCGTGCGTTCTATTACTACATCAGTGCCACGATTCATTAAATCACAATTTCCTAAGAAAGTGAGTTTAAAGCCGCGTATAACATTTTTTAGAAGATTGTTTGTAAGGATAGTCTGAAGTACTTTTCTTTTTAAAGGAGAGACATCTATTATCTCCATATGAGGGTACAGACATCTATATGCCAGCAAAAGGTTTTTTTTTACATATGCATATCAGAAAATTGACTAACCTGTATACATGTGTCTAAAGCCAATACAATTTCCAAATTTAAATCTAATAGAAAATGGATACAATAATGTGATTTTTCTACCTCAAAATATAAAGAATAAATAATAATGTGGATACACAGAGCAAATGTGTATATCAATAAATGCTGAACCTTTTTCTACCACTAGCCTACTACAGTAATAAATGTACTAACATTCACTAAAAACCTGTAATAAATGTTCTAATTTGTACTTAAAACCTGTAATAAATGTTCTAATTTGTACTAAAAACCTATGATAAATGTACTAACCATCACTAAAAATCAGCAATAAATTTACTAACCATCACTAAAAACCAGTAACAAATGTACTAACCATTACTAAAAACTGTAATAAATGTACTAATCTTCACTTAAATTCTCTACTAGCTTCAGAAAAAAAGTGGATATATTACATTTGATAAAGTTATAATAAAAGTATTAATGAATTATTTATTATACAAAAACCTTGAAATAAATCTGATGAGTAAGAAATTGTAAAAAGCAGCATAGTATGTTGTTCCAGTATGATCATGCCAAAAATTAGTCGTTCTTAAAACTCTTCAAAGGATCAGCACATTCTTAAAACTCTTCAAAGGATCAGCACATTCTTAAAAGATAACTGATCAAAATGTATAAAAGTTGTTACAGTTATAAAAATATGAGAGTTTTTTGTATTACCTATGTGGGTATATTTGTATTTTATTTTAGGCTAATAGACAAAAAGAGCGTGGTTTTCGAAAAGGAAAGAGCAAAGGTATTGTGCAGTATTTCTTTGTTATTAAGTATTTAGTTTTATGTGCCAATTTAGTTATATGTGTTAAAGCATGATCTTGTATTTAATGTTAAATGATATTAGTAGCAAGTGAAAATACAAGGTAAAAATAATCTACCTCATAATTGATAAATTAGTTGACAACAAAGAAAGATCTATACAAGCAGTCTAGTTAACATAAGTAATGATATAAATAGCAACAGTACCAAAAAGAGGTTTAAAGAAGAGTTTTGGAAGTAGCAAGGTAAAACTTAGTAGTTGAAGAAAATGAGTTTTGACACAAGGATAATGGCATAATGACATTATTAGGATTATGTCATAAGGAAATAGATTTCAAATTATGATGGGCTTAAAATGTGAAAAAAAAAAATCAATGGAAGTATTTTAACCATTCTATTAATTTTTTTCAATTTTATATTTTTAATTTTCATCTGTTTTTATCTATTTAACTGTTTTTGCTCCTAGATGATGATGCTCTTGATCCTATGGATCCAGCTTCGTACTCAGATGTTGGAAGGTATTTTTTTTATAATATACATTTTTTTTTTTAAAACTCTGTAAAACTTAAAAACTTTAAAAAAAAACTCATTTACACTTAATTTTTTTTTTAAATGTTAACTTGCCTTCCCATAGCTGAGAAGGTCACTACAGTTAAGGAGGATACTTTAATTGTGGTTGCAACTTTCTCTTAATTGTTTATCTCTAAATTATGAACCTTGGTTCATACTTTAGAATGATTTTTATTCAATTTGATTATCCATGCAGCGGCCTTTACAAAGCATTGCATGGAGAATCAAGTTGAATAAAGGCAAAGCAGAGAAATAATGGAAGTTAATTGAGTCTTTGTATTTATACCATATATTTGAAAACAAGGTTATAACATTTAACAACAGTCAAGTAATGGGTGATCCAAAATGCTTTCTGAACAAGTGCAAACTTCTAAATGTTTTAAACTGTGTTTATGGCAAGAATATTAGTTTGTTTGCATTTAATAGCTGTCATAAATAGTTTTTTGCATAAACTTAAGCAAATACAGGAGAGTTAATTTTCTTTTTAAAACAAAACCTTTATCAGATCCAGAAATTGAAAAACAAAAAATAGAAATTTTTCATTTTTAATATCTTATTTTAAACTTGGATGAAAAATTATTTTGATTTTCCACAGAGAATGAAATAATTTTTTATCAAAATTTAAAATGAAATTAAAACTTTGAACTTGAGTGTAAATAAAAATGTAAAGATAGAAAATATCACCTAAGGTAAATAAAAGTTTAAAGTTTACTGGAAAAAAACTATTATAAATATTCAAGTTAGGCCTCAACCAAATTAAGATCCTGAGTTATGATTAAAGTAAATGAAATTTAAGTGCAATATTTACGTTCACAGAGCTTATTCCATATGCAATTATTTACACCTACAAAATAAGATAAATTTCCTAAATTAGGTATTTAATAAAGCACAACACGGGCACAACAAATGCTGTTTGGTACATTTAATGTTATGTTGATATTTATAATTTCCAAAATTATATACTTCATTAAACTTGAGCTGAAAACTTGTGTTATTTACAGCTTTTCCCATTTCCTGGGCTTTACTTAAGGCTTCTTCTTAAACACAAGGTGAGCCCTTGCCCCAATATTACTTTTCCTTATAAATATTCGACAAATGCGTGTTTTTTTTTTGTTTTTTTTTTTGTTTTCTTTCTACGCAATTCTTAAAGATCAAATATCGGATCATATAAAATATGATCCGATATTTGATATTGTGATATATGTTTTTTTTTTTTTATTTGCCATTTTTGCTCTAATACTTTAGTATCATTTGGGTTTAAGGAGATATTTTTTTAAGGAGATATTTTTTTGATTTTTTTTTCTACATTAGAGTTAACAACTTAATGCTAACATACACAAATATTTATCTTTATATTTATACATTTTAATTAACTTAGATTAAAATAGTTTTTTTGTATTACTAGTTATAAATATATATGTAATAAACAAACTTGAATTAATATTTTAATTAATAACAGAAAATAAGATTCTGAGTTTCCTGTCTACGGCTTACATCTATTTAAAACTTAAAGTTATATAAATTTATTACACGTAATAAATCAAGGAACAGAATTTCAAATCTAAAGGTTTTCAAAGAAAATTAAAAGTATAAAATAATATTGAGAAGATATGGACAATGTAAGATGAAATAAGTACCTAAACAACATGTTACATTTTAAAAGATTTACTTGGAAAAGAACTTGTTTCTCTGCGCAACAACCTTGTTCGTCAGATTCGTGTTTCAAAATTCAAGAGTTGAGAGAGGGTTTTAACTACTGTAGTAGCCTTTTTGGTTTTGGGGAGGTAAATAAGATTTTAAAAAATATGATAGTTATTGAACACCAACATTGAACCATGATTTGTAAAACAGGTGAAGAGATGCAGCTGTATTACCCTGTGACAATTATTTGAGGCTGATAGAGATCTAGTAATCGAAGTCCGACAGTATTCACAAAGCCCTTTTGTACTTTTTGTAAAAATTAGAATTTATTATTTAATTAGCTAAGACAATTTCTCAAATATGTTTTCCAGACATATCAGTAGTTCAAGGATGTTTTAAGGCTGTGAAAGATATATAAATGTTGAAATTTTATTCCAACCTTAAGGGATCTTAGAAAACTCAATTTTTTCATTTTTATTATTAATTTTGATTTACTTTATTTTAACATACATCTCTTTAGCAATCTGTTTTTCAATATTGCTAAAAATACGATCAATAAAATAGATCAGATTCAGATTTAAAAAAATATAGCAAGATATTTTACATAGAAAAAGACACAAAAAATAACATCAAATTCTGAAAAAGATATCATAAAATTAGTTTCCTAGAATAATCTGAAAATTTTGTCTATAATCATGCGCATAACCTGAATACGCTTTTCCATAATAATAATAAATTTAATGCATATTTTTCATTATTAATTTTTTTACAAAAAAAATTATTTTGGACTTATCATTAAAACAAAGTAATATAAATTTTTTTTTTTGGCTCAAAATTGCTCGTAGACTCGTAGAATTTTAGTAGTAGACTCGTTTAGTAGTAGACTCGAATTTTAGTAGTAGACTCTTAGTAGTAGACTCGTAGTAGACTCGTAGAATTTTAAATTTTATTTTTTTAAAAAAAGGAAACGTTTATATTTAATAAAATTGCATATATTTTTCTTTCTTTATCTGATTTTTAATTTACCTGTTGTTTTATCTACAGGGCCGACGACAGGGTTTCGAAGTAGGAGGGGGGTTGCAAAATGTCATTCCACATCATTATCATTCTACAGATTAAGTTTTTAGTTTTCAAATAATTTAATTAATCCTTCTGTTATCAATTTTTTTTTAGAGGAACTTGGTCAACCGGATTGAAAGAAGATACTGACGTCAAGACAGGAGTTGACACAACAGCTAACGGTCCATTATTTCAACAACGACCCTACCCAAGTCCTGGTGACATTTTACGAAGAAATAGAAAACAGGTGGATCCATCAGATGCGTAGACGTTAGAAAAGAAAAACAGAAAATTCATTTACCCATAAATATCTTTACAAAGTATTTATTTTATTTAAAAAAATACTTTAAATAGGTAAAATAATGGATAATCCTTAATTGGTTACATTATTTCTTCATATTGTATTTATTTCATAACTATAAAGGTACGACCTAAATATGAAACGTCTATATCTGCTTAGAAGAAGTGTTTTATTAGTAGCAATATATTTTTTACAATGAATTAAGATATTGATATTTTGCTTGTTAATACATTTTTGAAGTGTTTTACTGTGTCGAACAAGTTCTTATGGAATAAAGTTTAACAAGATTTAAACGTAATTAAAATTTTTTTGATAATTAATTGTTGCAACAATCCATCATGTTAAGATGTTAACATTCTTTTTATTTAAAAATAAAAACTACTGCTTTCAAGAAAAATTCAGTATTGCTTTTTTTAATTGAAAGAAAATTATACATTTAAGTGTGCAAATCAATTTAAGGGTGAAAAGGCAACTAAATTTTTACGTTTCAAAAAAAATTATATCTACATACTATATAAATATGCGACATAAAATGTTTACTATATTTTTGTAACTAATAGTGTGATTCAGTGTAGATGAACCCATACTTTCAAGTGAGCTTGTCACGCATAAATAAGGTGGTAGACTTCTAAAATAATTATTTTTGTATTTTACAATGTTTCAATAGATTTTTTTTACTTCAAACATGATAAATACATTAGAAAACTTATCATTTATTTATTTATATATATATATATATATATATATATATATATATATATATATATATATATATATATATATATATATATATATATATATATATATTTAGGGAAAAAACAGGTATTTTTAGGTCAAAAACAGGCTAAAATCTTGGCAAAGATGCCTCAAAAAGTATAATTTATTAAGTTCTAATTTTTTGTATTTTTATTCTTTTTATGTAGATAAATGTCCTGAGATAAAAATTTTTGTTGAAAGTTTCTTTATTTTGAAGCATCGTTAGATTTTTCAAACCAATTAAAAATTGAATTTCTGATCTTAAGTTTTAAAATCCAAAATTTTATTTTTTTATAAATTTATATTCTAAATTTATTTTATCTCAGGACATAAAGCTTATAATAATGAATCTCTGGAAAAAAATTAAAGTCAATTGGACTATTACAGCTCCTGCAATCTTTGCCAGAAAATTAGAAGAATAAAACAGAGAAAAATGCATATAAAATTTAAAATATTAAATATACCAACTTAGGAAAACAGGTTAAAATCCCCTTTTTTACATACTGTCCCTCTTCATCATTGTATTTATTATCAAACCCTTTCCTAGTTGCTTTAAGGTTTTTTCCTTGTTTTTTAGTTTGATTTTTTTATTTCTAACCTTAACTAGCATCACTTTTATTAGTTTTAAATTTGTTTTTCTCATATGAAGATCTGTATGTTTTTAGATTCTACAACAGTTACCGTTTAAAACAATGCTATTTTTGATAAATTGTTTTTTCTAACTTTTTTTGCAGTCCACCTTAAAGTAGAGATAATTTATTTGAAAAAATAATAAATGCAGAAATAATTTCATTTTATATTGAGAGAAATCAAGAACGTTTTTTTTTTATATAAAAATAGTTAATATATAAGAAAACCATTTCTTTAGTCAAAAGAATTCTCAAAAAAAAATTGAAATCAGCTTGATTACATAGGAGGAATTACTCAAAGTTCTTGCAGAAACCGAAGTCGTTACGAATAATCGGCTATTTACGTTTTCTTCTGAAGATCCGGTAAATAGTCGTAGTCTTTGGTATAAAAAAAAAAGTAGATTATAAACATTAATAAAAAACAACTATAAAAATAAGGGCATAAAAAAGTGCGTTGAGTATAAATACACTATTTTAGAACATCTTTGGAATAGGTGGTGCAACGTATATTTAGTTAAATTTAAATGAACTACGTGAATTTTACAAAATATATAATTAAAACTCAAGTAAAAATATAACAAAAAAAGACGATGCGGTCCAAGATCAAAATCAAAATTGGTTCGAGGATGGAAGTTAGGCATTGTAAAAACAATGGACAAATACGTGGAGCAACTGTATAATGTATAGATACATTTTTTTCCCTAAAGAAGATTTTTAAATAAAAAAAAAAGAAAATTTGCAAATAAAAAGAACATTCAGCTAGTCACTGCATTTGGTTGCGGGAGTGTTGCGCTAATCAAATAGTGATGATTAAATACATCACTTTTATATATATATATATATATATATATATATATATATATATATATATATATATATATATATTTCGTCATTATTAATATAAATTTGTACAACATTTTACCGTGAAATATATGACTGGAGCAAGTAGAAGACAATAGTCTTATCATTTTGCCCCATTTTTGTCGTTGACAAAATATAATAAAATATAAACCAAATACAAATATAATAAAATATTTATAATACATGTGATTTTTTTTTTTTTTTTTTTTTTTTTTTTTTTTTTACAATGAACTTCATTAAATAACCCAGCAAGTAATATAATAGAATTTCAAGAAAAAGTGAAGGAAAAAAAAAATTAAATTGAAAAAGGAAAAATTTTAAAAATAAGAGATTGTTTCATTAATGTTGAGGTCTAGTAGCTGTTGCTTTACAACGCATTTAAAATATTTGATTAGCGCAACCAGTGGCGGACTGGGACTAAAAATCGGTTCGGGCATTTCATATTGGACTGGCCCACATTAGAGGAAAATTAATTAACTATTTTTTTTATAATTTAACTATGAAATTTTTAAACAAATTTTTTAAGAACAAATATGTTTATTTTAAATATTCAACTAATAAAGAATTTTCAAACAACTAAAAGATTTTTAAACAGATCACTTGTTTCAGCTCGTCAATTATTGTTTCGGGATCAAGATTGCTTAGAATTTCCTTTTCAGTATTCATGAGTATAAATGATTGTAAATTTTCTTGAGCCATACTACTACGCAAACGATTTTTAATGAACTTTAAAATTGAAAAACCTCTTTCACATGCAACTTGCGTAAATGAAAGTGACAAAGTATATTTATAAGCTAACCCAATTTTTGCGTATTCTTCACTTATTAAATTATATTGAATCAAAACAAGGTAGCAACAAACTGTGCAGTTTTTACAGGCAGTACATGACTTTCGACAATTATATTCAAGTTCCTCAACACTTTCTTTGTTTATATTCAGTTTGTCATATGTACTCAAAAGTGACTCTTTGATATTATTCCAGTTTGAAGCAAAACTAGTAAATTTAGTACGTAAATTTTCTGCTGTAGCTTCTTCATCAAACGACAATAGATGTTCACTCAATTTATTTAAAACAGATGTTGGTACACTATGAGCTTTCAACTGTTCAAAATTTGAAGGACTTAGAATAGCAAAATCAGCATAAAGTTCTCGACTTTTTTAAAAACGTTTGCTCATGCTTTTTATTATGCTTTTAAATATTACATCATGAACTTTAACTTTATAAGAGTTAAGTACATCAGAATGAATTTCAAATTCACTTGGACGAGTTTCGCCTTATAATACTTTTTTCTTTCGAATTCTTTTTTCTGGTAGAGTATTCTCTGTTTCTAATTCATGTTGTTCAATTTTTTCATTAACTTTACAGACAAAATTGTTCGTAGCTTCCAATACTATATCAAATTCCTCTAAATACTTTTTCAATGTGTCTATCGTTTGCGTAACCATGTTGTATGCAACCAAAATGTCCATATTTACTATATTTTGAGAGCGGTGTCGTCAACTGAAAAACCCGTAAAAAAATTTGTGCAGTTAAAATTGTGTCATACTTAAGGAGTCCTTCTTTGAAGCCTTTTGCTTTTACTCGAACTTCAGATTTGAAACTTAAATTGTCTTCAATATGAGACAATCCAACTACAAGTTCAACGTAGAAACTAGAATGCGGATTGGCAAAGGTACCAAATATTTTTGTTAACGCTGCATCCTTTGACCACCAACGTGTTTCACCAATAGTTGAAATTCTGCGATTGTGTATATCATTCTAATTTTCTGTTTCAAAAATATTCATTCTTGTATATGATCCACGAATAAACACTGCTACGTCATTCAACAAATTAAACAAGGAAATACTGGATAAAACGACACTACAAGTATCTGAAATAACCAAATTTAAAACATGAGCATAATACCATACATGTATTTGGTTTGGATTTTCTTTGAACATCCATGCTGCGAAACCGTTATACTCATCATTCATGTTTGCAGCTCCATCTGTTGAATTACCAACACACTTTAAAATATCAATGTTCAATGCCTTTAAAGTTTCAGATACTAAACTCGACAGATACTCGCCAGTTGAAGAGACGCACGCAATCATAGTTAATAATCTTTCGTGAATCTGATCAGTTACATACCTCACAACTATTGAGCATTGATTTTTAGTTGTTATATCTGCTGTTGTATCAATTTGAACTGAAAACATACCAGCTGAGTTAATTTCTTTTGCAATGATTTTCTGTATGGAACGACTCGTAATTTGAATGAGTTTTGTTATTGTGGTTTTTGAAAGAAAAGTAACCATGGAACCTCTTCCAGTACTTCCAGTGTTCTTCCGTTTTTCACTCTGTTCAACTATTTAAATGTTCTTTTAAACAAGTATCATATTTACTGACCGGCCCACCGGACATTGTCTCGGTACGCCCATATGGCCAGTCCGCCTCTGAGCGCAACACTCCCGCAACCAAATGGAGTGACTAGCTGAATGTTCTTTTTATTTACAAATTTTATTTATTGTTGTAATTAAGCATATCAAGTACTTAGTAAATAATTATACAATTATTTTTTAAATTAGTAAATAATAAGACGTATTTTTGTTTTGGATTCATGTAATGTAGTATGCAAATGTAATGTAGTTGTAATATGTAACATTCATGTAAATCTTCTCATATAGTTACAATAAAACTTTATTAAAATTTTATTGTAACTCCAGATAATTTTTCAGTTAAATTTTATTTTTATAAGTTGAGTTGTGTCCCATGCCATAAGTCAAACAGGATCATAAAAATGCTCCAAACTAAATATTTTTAGTATTTGACTCGAAACTCCCCAAATTTGAACCTTATAGAGACCTGTTTGAATGTTTTTTAAATTAGCTGAAGTAGTATCACCGTTCATCACTTCCAACAGTGATAGAA